AGCTTGAGTCTTCTGTTCATCTACCTGGACGTAGTCCACTCTCTGCTCCTCAGAGAGAAAAGGTTTCTGTGGGAGAGAGGAAAAAAACAGTGCATTAATCTTAGGGTTGAAATGGACGCTAGTGAAACTTGGCTTGATTTTCTGTTCTCCCTTTCCCTTGTTCCTTGATTGCTTCACTTCACCTTGCAGCTCACAGTGACATCAGCTGACAAAAGCACTGCCTTACAGCCTGCTTTAGCTGTAATTATCCATCTGTCACCCTGTCACTCAGCCCAGCCCAGCCAGCGAGGGAAACATGCTGTGCTGGCCATTTCCATGCAGACCATCATCTCTCCTCACCCCAGTGATCCTGCTGCAGGGAAGACCCAACTGCATTTTAACTGCAGGGAGGGTTTAAATAAGGAAGCTTAGGAATCTTGATGATTTTTTTCTTGTATTCAGGAGCATTAGCTGATAGAGAAAATTATGCACAGGACATAAAATGGTCCAAACCACCAACAACTCATTGCTCTGCAGTGGTACCTGCCCACCACCTGGGCAGGTTATAGGCTCTTTGGAATGAAGAGTGTATTTTCTCACTGTTGCCAAGGAAATTGAAATGCTTTTGGTGGTGCAAGAATAAAGATGCACATTTTGCCACGTTACAGGAGATGGTACAGTTTTACTCCATGAATTTATCACGGGCTGTAAACTTGTTACTGCAAAGAGATTTGGGGGAAAAATATCAGGAAAGGGGCTGTGGAGACTCGATGAAAATGAAAGAGCATGAAGAGATCCTGCAAGCACCAACAAGCTTGCCCACGAGCCCTCATGGATACACATCCCAGCACAGTCTCAAGCCCTCTGCCAAGCTCGTGTTAATGGCACCCCTATGAGTCATGCTAAGGACACCTTGTCATCACCCTAACAGAGCTTTTATTATATTAATCTTCAGCCTGCCACGAATGCAGTCAGCTGGAAACACAGCTGGGTTCAGCACGATACCTAGGGCACCTAGCAGAGTGGCCTCTTGGTCTTGTTTTCCTCCTAGCAAACAAAAGGATGGGAGGTTGGGGGGTTTTGGAGATGACTCGTACCTTCTGTACAGGGGATGGGGAAGCAGAATTAAAATCCAATGCTAAGTAATCAAGGTTAGATTTCCTTGTCCATGGAAAAGCACCACTGTATGGAGATGTTGCCTGTCTGTGTTCCTGTCAGGAAAGAAGAGAAAATTTAATGCTCTTAAAACATGATTCTAAAAGGAAGCAGGACTACAGCTGCGAGGTGGGAGACTCGTCTGGTAGAAGGTGAGTGAGGAGGGTCAGCACCCACATAATTTTCTGTGCCAGGGGTGTGTTTGGTGACTAACCACAGGACAACACTGATTAATTGGGGGAGGGTGTAAAGAAACTGTGAGAGCCTTCTTCCCCTGGTAATTATGGCAAAAAAGCAAACCAGGCTGATTTCCATTCAGTGTTACCAGGACTTGTGCCCAGCTTCCCAGCCCAAACTCTTGGAATGCTCAGATTTGCAGGGATGTCCTCTTAGCCATCATCCTGCCACAAATTTGAAGGAATGGTAGTAACTGTGTTCAAATCCAGGAACTTAAAATTAATCTCAGGAAAATCAGATAACCACAAATGTATGGAAGGTTTGATTTGACTAGAAACATCAAATGGGGAGTTAATTACAACTGGAACTCCTCTTCTGAGCAGATTTGGAACTAGTAAAAGTGTGGGGTAAAATTTAAGATTGTGGTTCATGGAATTTGTAGCCAGTTTTGCAAAACACTTCTGTTGCCATTTGGCTTCAGCTATGGAGCCAAACTGGTAGACACTGGCTCAGATCAAGGGATTTGAGCTCCATTTCCACCTCAAATTCAAAGGAAACTAAGATTCTGGTCTTTTGCAAGATATGGTTAAAGAGTGAATAAAGGAAAGGAAGCCACAAAGCCAGATGTTCCTCTCTCATGGGATGGGAAGTGGGGTTAGTACCACCAGCCAAAGCAGAAGCAATAGGAGACTTTAATGGGAGTTCTGTTTCTGCACAATCTTTGGTGTGTTTCTCTAGGAAGTGCACGGGCGGCTTTCTGTCATTTCCTAGGAGATTTTGCAGGGCACACTTTTAAAAGGTGAAAAGCTTTAATTTTCCTTTGCCTTAATGAGTTCTCATGTAAATATGGCTGATCCCTGTGATCTCTTGGAACTGCTCAGCAACATTCGTGGGCGAGCAGCTGAGTTCTGCAGAGCAGAAGAAGGGCTTCCCTTATCTCTCCCTAAATTGGTCCCAGTGTCTTCGGTTTAAAACCGTTTCATCATTTTTTTTAAAAAACAGAAGGCAAAGGACAAACCTCCTCAACATTTTTTTTTCTTAGAAAACAAACTTCTGCATTCTCCATCAATGTGACAGAGCAGAATAAAGCGAAGGATGGCTGTGTGAAAATGAAGATTACCATATGAATGTAACTTTCTTCCTCTTCTCCGGAAACTGAATTGGCAAATATTCTTGCTGAATTAATACCGTCTCTTTCTGGTGAGATAAAGCTCATTCGATTGCTATGAAGAAAAACACAGGAGAGGTTAAGGAAGCATCTTACAGATGCTCTGAAATGAAGCCAAAGCCTGACACAGTCCATATGGTGAATAAACTCACACTAACGCTGCAGCCTGTATGGGGAGGATGTCCAAAACCACTCCTTAGTTCTAGAAGGAGTGTGCTATATTGCTAGGAGTGGTTTGGTTGATTTTTTCTTCCTGGGATCTATGAAAGTTTGCCATCTCTGGTTTGACAGAAAGTGTAAAACATTGGAGCAGTTCTCCAGCTAGGGGCACAGAGACAGATGCTCATCTGGGTGACCCGTGCTGGTGGGGCAGTTAGTTGTGTGGCTGTCCACGCTGTGGAGATGGATGTGGATGTGCACTGGAGGTGCATGCAGAGGCTTGTCTGGCTTTGAGCACAGGGCAAACACATGCTAGCTGTGCCAGGGAGATGGCTGCAACTCGGCCCTTGTACAAGGAAATCTCTTCCACTAACAACTGTCAGGGGTCTATGGTGAGTAAATTATTGCAGGCCAGCACAATGGGGTTAGTTCCTAGGAAATTAGGTGGCCACTTCGTGCAGCATGAACAGCATCATTCCTTTTGCTTTATTAGTTCCAGGCATACTTCTTTTTTTAGTTTTGTTAGTGTAAAACATGCAAACTCCCTCCGAGCTCGTTACCCTTCAGGACTCTGCACTGTGTCAGCACTAATTAACCACAGCACTCTGGCAGGGGTGCTTGGGAGGGTTCCCCTAACAGGCAGTGCTGGAGGGCTTCCCTGGCTCTGGGCTCTGCAGCTGAGAGAGGGGTCTGCAGTAGAGGAATGGCCCATCTCCTGCCTCTTTGGTCCTCCAGAGGACTGCCTGAGCTGGGGGGTGTGTGGAAATGCCCTGTCTGGCACTCATGCTAGTGATAAAATGACGTTTTCTGGAGTGCTCAGGGTGTGCAGAGGAGGTTGGTGGGAATTCCTGGCTTTTCCATGCACACTTCAGCACAGCTGGCTCTCCTGTCAGCCTTTCTCTGTAGTGCCAAGATCCCACCAGCCAGCAGGCTGCAGTCCTCCCCTGCTCGCAAGTTCCCTGAAGATGAGTCTTTCACTGCCCTTGGAGCCCAGCAGAACCCTCTGTTCACACTACCTGAGCTTTGGGACCAAAAGGGTTTGTTCTACCCTGCAACTAATTTCCAGTGAAAAAAGATCACACCAACAGACAGAGTCTGAATTGCTGTGTGGCAGTGCAGAAGTCCACACCCAGGCTACAAGTCAGGCAGATCTTTATCTTATCTGGTTCTCCATTGCTGTATTGATTTTCAGGAACAAAAATGGCACTCTCACTTTGGAAAACAAAATAAAATTAAGGCATGCAGAGCTTCTAGGCATCACAGCAGCCACACCAGAGTGCACACCAGCTCCAGTGTTTTCAAAAGGAACCTTCAAAAGAGATTGAGCATCGCTGTGTGATGCTGAATGCACTGGAGCTGCCTGTCATGAAGGGAGCCTTGCTTTTTAGAGACAGCAAAAGCCTGGGGGATGCTGGAAGGAGCCCTGGGGAATTTTTGTTTGTGGACTTTGCCAGGAAACTGTTTCTTGTGGGATGTGATAAGTTATTTTTAACTCCCTTCCACAATGTTAAGGCTTAAAAGATTTGAACAGCAGGTTTCTTGTTGACTCACTAAGGCACAGTCCACATCCTGGTCACAGCAGCATGCTCTCGGATCGTGGAGAGGTTCCTCAAGTCCAGAGGAGGTGGCCGTGCTGCAAGTAGATACAAAAAGCACTACATTTCCAACAGCAGAGCTATGAAAGGGACAGGCTGTTCAGAAAAATGCGGTTATACATTAACAGCAAGAAACCAACAGAGTGTTTCACAGAATGTAACTGGTATGGTTCAAGATAGAAATCACTAACAAATAACCACTTTGATCAGTGCTGGGAAGCAAAGTCCCTTATTTGCCCTACAATAACTGAATAAATACCATGGGCATATGGAGAGTAAACACCCCAAAAGATCCATGTGCTTGCCCCAGATCTGCTCTGTGTATGCTGCCTTCAGGAGGAGAGGCCAGTCCAGCCTACAGGTCAAAACAGGTTTGGGGCTCTCTTCTAAATTAAAAGGTCCTACATGTGGAGCTTAAGATCATTCCTCCCACCAGTCAATGTACATTTTCCACTCCATTCTCAAAACCCTCTAAGAAAGGACCTGAGTTTTCTTTGCTTCCTGGCAATGGTCTAAAGTTCTGTCCTCACCCATGTGTCAAGTTTGAGTATTAGAGGGTTTGGATGTGCTGCTCCTGGAAGGTCAGGGAGCTGGTGAGACAGCAGTACAGGTACTTCAGAGCTGCAGGATTTAGTCTGCTGTCTCTGCAAGGCTCCATCCATTGGGTCATTTGCAGCCAGAGTGGACCTGAAGCCATGCACCACGCTAACGCAGCCACCAGTCTTAGGCTGCAAAAGTAGCCATGGGTGCTCTTCCTCTGCTCCCCACCAACCCTGCAGACTCCTCCTGTGTCCAGCACTACAAAGCCACTCACACAGCAATCCAACCCCTCTTCTAGAGGGGGAAGTGGTGCCAAAGGAGATCACCCGTGTCCCTGCCCCCAGTGGCACCTTAGGGCTGGGCTTACATTTCCTGCGAGGCTTGAGGTCCCGGTTGACCGGCGGGGGCTCCAGGTCGGAGGGGAGCTCTGGCAGAGGGCTGGTGAGTTTTTCGGTGCTGAGCACGGGGAAGGAGAAGGTGGCTGAGCCCGGGCTCATGGGGATGTAGCCGTCGGGGGAGCAGTCGGAGGCGGGCGCAGAGGGGGAGTTGCTGGGGCGCATGGGCACGTAGCTGTCCTCTGCCCCCTCCCCAGCCGTCGAGTAGAGCGGGGAGAACCGGCAGGGCTTGGGAAGCAGAGGGGGAGAAGGAAGAGAAACGGGTTGGTACATGAAAAGCTAACCCTCTGAAAGCCAGGAGGTGCTGTGAGGTCCGAGCAGGGCCCCGGCGTGACCTTTCTGAGGGGCTCAAGCTGGAGAGACACAAGACAAATGGCTGAGTTCAGCTGCATGCTCCAGCTCTGGAGAATGCCACCTCTGAGTTTTGCAGGTCACTGCTGGACACTAGGACTGAACTTATTGGTGACTTATGGTGCTACACATAGCCATGCCTGTCAAAGGCTGAGCTAGGAAGCTTTGGACTGACAGAGCCCTGAATCACAGGCACTTGGAGAGCAGAGACTTTCCTATATCCTGAAGAGGAGATACTCCTCAGGGTCATGAAGTGATAGGCTTCTTTAGACCCTTTTCCAAGAGATAAGCCGTGTTCTCAGGTGCTCTTGGTCAACAGTTGACTTCTCAAGGCTCCTGGTATTCTTTCTCACAGCAGATCTGGCTTCTTCTGCTTTAAAAACAGGCTGCTCAGTGTTGTAGCCTCCCTCCCACCCCCCTCAAATGCTTCCTGTGGCCGTGAAGAAGCAGCACAGAAGTTGCCCAAAATCCAGTGCTTGTTTTATTTATTTTTTTTATTCTTCTGCTGAACACAGGAGAGGGATGATTGAATATGAAGATGTGAAATGATTCACTTTCTGAAGTTTGTTGTGTGCCACTGTTTTAAATTTATGCGAGCAGAGCACTTACCAAATTCAAGCTAAGCCTCTTATCCCGACTTCTTAAGGAACTGCCTTCCATGTCTGCTGCAAGGAAAAAAGTGATTAAAAATGTGATAAGGCACTGCAACCTGACAGAGATAACTCTGGAGTAAAGCATATGGCTTGAAAATAGTGAGAGCTTTATAGAGATTCCATAACTCCTAGTATTTATCCTAAATGAGGAAACCCAATGACACTTCAGACCAGAACCAACTCAGTAGTATTTCAAGAGTGACTGCATCTATTTTAAGTATGATGAAACCACAGAACATGCTCATGTGTAATCCAACTGTAACTTTTGCTTCCTGTAACACAAGTAGTTGGGGGAAAGACTGGTGTGGAGAGCAAACAACCAAACAAAGATCTAAACCTAGCTCCTGCTCTAGTCCCGCTCTGTTTTCCCATCTGTCAAACTGTGGAAATTATATTAAAAGGGACTGTGGGAATATTAACTCATTATTGTTTGGAAAGTTGTTTAGGAGCCCTGTACATAAGGTGCCAGGGAAGCATGTGTGACTGTACAGAGGGTGTGTGGGAGAACATAATGGTAGGAGAAAAATTCTTCTCTTTGTCACCCAGAAGTGCTGATGTGGTGCAAGTGGCTCAAGCTGATGGGAAACAAACAGCCAGAGAAAAGGTCACCAGTCACAGTGTCCCCTTGTGCAGTCTGGCCTTTGTCTTGGTGTACAACAGTTTTGTTTTTGAAGCAAAGGACAAAACCCCTGAAATCTAGCACTCAGTGCACAGGAGATCAGCAGTGGGAGATGCTTACAACTACCACCCCTTTGTGGAAAAGGAGCTTCTGTACAGAAAATGGCTTTTCTGTGGGAATGCCTTAAAGCCCTGCAACCACACAAATCCAGTCCCTGCTCTTGTGGTGGAGACCTCGACACTGCACTGCAGCTGGGGGTCTCTGTGGTGGCACCAGCATGAGAGGCAAAAGTGCTAACCAAGGACAAAGCCATCCTGTTAGTGCTGATGTACTCACACAGACACTGTCCTGAGACAGCTACGTTTACTGCTGATTTTGGCAAAAAGACATTCAGGCACAACAGACAGAGGCCAGGATACAGGTGCCTTGCCTGTGTACAGCTCACTGCCCTTCATGGCACTGGCACCAGCATGTGCTGCCTTTGCACTGGCATAATTACATCTGCTCAGCTTTTACAGGTTGCCAAGGGCAAAAAATATATATATAAAAAAAAAAGTAAATAACCTGAGTGGGCTCACTCAGAACTGGGGAGAAACAGCTGCTTTCTCCATTTCTTTTTCTGATCTTTCTTGTTGAACACATTTTAATTCAGAGTTTAACCTTCCAAATAGTTTCAGCTGCACTTAGGGCAAGAAAAAAACCAGCAGCACTTATTAAATTCATTGCTGCCCCCTGCCAGGCAGTGATAACCTTGCAGCACAGCAGCAGAACATGACATTTGGCCACTTAATCCTCCTAAAAACATTTTGGTGTAAATTGGGTTGGAGGAACATTGAAGGTCTGAAACGTGCTGATGGTTTTAGAGCAGCAGACATGCAGAAGCAAGAGCAGCACCTTTCAGGGAGCAAGCAGTGGAACAGATAATTAAGAATACCAATTCCACTGATGGGTGTTTCTCCAGAAGGCTTCCAAGAATTGTTTGTACACTGATAAACAGGCTGGACAGAGTATTAGATCTAATAGCCCCAAACACTGGCTGTTCATCCAAACTACAGGAGTCTAAAGGACGCTTGCCCTTAAAAACCTACATTTTCTTCCTTACCAAAATTACTGTGAAATACTAGATGATTTCCAGCCAGGTACTCCAGTTCCTCCCTCTGTTCTGTGGCGCCACAAAATAAAGCTTTCCCACACTGCATATGCTGGTTTCTGACACCCTGATGTTCTGGATTTTTGACTATTATTTTGGTTTGTGACGATCGTATTTCAAGAAGGAGTGGAAAAGTCACCTCAGCTCAGAGCAGAACCTGCTCTGCAGCAGAGCCTCACTCTGCAGAGGCTTTCCAGGACACCCTGACTGAGGTGCAAGGACAGAGCAGGATTTGCTCAAGGACGCAGAGTCCCTGGTTCAGCTGGGATTATATCCTATCCCCAGTGTCTCCCTGGCTTCCCGTTCTTTACTCTAAGCTGTGAAGAGACACGCTGCTGCTGTTACAGAAAGGACTGGGGGTAGTGAAGCAGCACAGAGAAGAAGGCATTTCCCATGTGCAGGCCCTCATTTTGACCTGCAAAAACAGTTTCACATTGCCCAATCCAGTGGTTGGCTTTTCATATTTCTTTTTCTACCGTTTTCTCTTTTGGAGAGGGAGGAGATATGGAAAACTGGCAAGTCATGAGGCACCCTGAAGAGATCACAGCCAAACTGCTGCCCACATGTACACACTGAAGGGCTTCTTCAGAGCAAGAGCTGATGTGAGGGACGGGTCTGAATCCTGCTCGCTAGCTAATTTGAAACAAGCATTTCAGGTTGCTTTGGGTGGTGTATGATTTCAGTGGGGAGGACAGAGAGGCACAACTGGAGGTGGGCACCTGCTCTGTGCTTGTGGGTAGCTCCATCCTTCACACTGGTTCTGTTTCCCCGAGTCTCAGAAGTGCACTCACCTTTCCAGTTCCTCACGTTGTCTAAGCTGGACAAGGAGATCCTTCTGGGCACCAGAGCGACCTGAGCCCGGCAGACCCCCGCGTGCCCGTTCTGGAGGGTCCCACCGCCCGCCTCGTCCCCTCTCCTGTCTGAGAAGTGGGTTGGCTTGGGTGGCCGTGGGGGGGGGGTGTTGGACAGGACGTCCAGCTGGGTTACGCCGTAGGGCAGCGCCTTCTGGCTCTTGTCAATCTGAAAGGTTGGCGTCAGCGGCGTGCCCAGCAGTGGAGAAGAGGAGGAAAAGTCACTGGGTGGCCCACTAAGGTCTGTGTTCCTGGACACGGCGCTGGGGTTTGCCAGCGGGGCCCCATCCTGGTGCCCAGTGCCAGCGCCGGACAGCTGCACGAGGTACAAGGAGGGCTGGGACTGCACAGAGTCAACAAAAACATCATCCGAGGAGGTCTGCTCCAGAGATCTGTCCGAATTGGACCAGCTGTCACACCTGCACAGAGACAGAGGTCAGGGCCTGCGGTTTCCTCTTCTCCTGGCTGCAACTGAGCAAGCACACAGCAAAAGAAAACACCAAACCACCCAACCCCAGCCTCACAGTTTGGCACAAAGTCTGTCCCTTCCCTACGGCTGTGGAAGGTCCCCCCCCAAGCTGGGATGGGGCACTCTATGGACCCGTTTGCCCCAGTGTCCCAGGGAATCGCTGGGGGGGCAGCTCCAGCCCGTGGCCCCCGGCAGACCCCAGACCCACCTGTTGTGGCTGAGCTTGCCCGACTCGCAGTTGGAGAGGAAGAGGTAGTCGGGGAGGAAGACGGACTCGG